ACTCAACTGTGAAATACTCTGCTCCCAAGATATCTGGCGAGTCGCTGATGTGTTTTCAATCTCGTAAAATAGTGGTTGGTCTGACAGGGGATGTGCATTTTCACTTCACCTGTACCAAACGTTTTGGAAGCTATGGAGAGAAGATGGGTTTTGAAGATTTTAATAGGCCTTTAGACTGTCAATCTTATCCGTTTAAGCTCCTGAACTAAGTACGGCCTGGGCTCGTGCCAGATACACTTTGAAGTCATCTAAGGGATCCATTAGGCTACAACCTGACTCTGTGTCTTCTGCTAAAATTCCTTGAAGTCTTGGCGCCGCAAAGTTTTTCCTTATAATTTCTACGTCTTGTTCTACACAAGATGATCGTATGATTCTTGACCTAAATTTAAGAAAGCATGTGTTCAAGTTGTGCGTGGGGCACAGTGTTCTATCATTTATGAGGCTGCTTCCAAAAACACAAACTTTACGTAAGAGGATAAGCCAGGATGTTATGGAGTTGGCAGGAGTGAAGTTTGATGGCAAGTTCGCAGCCCTTACCAACGTTGAAAGTGGAATGAATCCTCTTTAGATGCGGCACTAAAAATGATTCGAAGAGGCTTGCTCATTTGGAGGCCTAGAATGGTCAAAAAGATGTGCTTGCATGTGCAAATCCCCATTTTTCCTCGTTCACTAGTTAATGCTATTTATAAGTATCGCAATACGTTGCTCCAAGGCATTCTTCGCAAAATCCAGCAGTAAAATATCCAAGGTATTTCTCCCTCGGTTTCTGTTCAGGCCAATTTACGAATCACTTCTTCGATAGAAAATCTCCGATGATTTCGAACTTAACCACGTTAGGCTGCTCAAGGATGATAGAAATTTTTCACAATAAAGTTAGAATGCTTCAAGGGGATATTAGATTTCACTTGGTCTTGCCTTTTACGATACCTTCTTCACCAAAGTGTGTGGCAGCAACGTACTCATCATTGTCTCATCAGCACCCTCAGCTTGATTCGAACTAAGCTCCTAACTATCGTGTCGGCATGTTAAACACCTCTACAGGGTAAATACAGCTCTAATATGTCTAATTAGAGTTGTTAGACATTTCATTCAAATTCTAGTTTCATGTAGTTCATTCTAGTTCATCCATAGAAAGTAAGTCCCGTACTTCTGCACCATTTGCTAACTTTGTGTTTACCAACTTTTTCGTGACCATCTCTAAAAGATTCACTTTTTAGTGGTAAATTCTTCTTTATACGAAACTAATACAAATTGATCTCCTGACAATATTTAAATGTCATACAGATCCTTGCAAAGAGCAAACGAGCTTCTGCCAACACACTTTCTACTAAGGTATGAAGATCAAGATGGTGTGGTCTTTTGTGTGGTCGCAGTCTCCTTTCGTTGTATAGAGGTTGTTTGACCTTGTTTTCGAAACATGGTCATATTGGTAGAAAGACTTAGCGGAACGCACCTAGTCCGGGGTCCATTGTCTGCATGACCATTTCCAAAGTTGAACCGTAGACGTGGTACATTCCCAAAGATTTCGCCGGCATCGTCATTGAGTATCGCCATTCTTAGCGGTAAGAAAATTGTAATAGTGAAGGCATGATAGGATGCAACCGGAAATACGAATAACCCAGGGCAGAAGGGGAGAT